AAATATAGTTAATGAAGAAAAAGGGGGGGGGGGAAAATCAAGTAAGAAAATACAGACAAGCCACTTGACAAATGAAATATTTCAGACTATTATAAGACAGTTTTAAAGAGGGGCAACATCTATATTCTTTTACACGTTATTACTGTTAAAGCCGCTAGGAATATTTTTGCAAAACAAATATTTAGGTCACCTTTAGAAATTAGAATGAAAGCACCTAGAAGGGCTGCAAACTTCTCTTAGTACTTAAGCTGTTAAATACAGTCTTCAAAAACAAAATTGTTCACATTGTAAATTATGAAGTGTCATAAAAACAAGATTAAGCATGCAGCTCTGACAAACATATTTATGCAAATCATCTCATCCAAAATCAGGATGGAAACTAGTTGTACTTCACCCATCAAGCAGCAAGGTATTTACACTAATAATTTTATTCTGATGCATTTCAGTAACAAGCCACTAACTTTTTCACAATTGTTCAATTCTTAAAAGCCCTGGAACATGCTTTTAAATGGGAAGTCCTTTCTAATTTTAACCAAGGAAAGGATCAGCACTGATATACCAGTATTCATTAATTCAATATCAAATTCAGAATGCATTAATATCTAATAGTGTGTCTGGTCTCGATCAGTAGCTTCATTACAGGTTTTTCCAATTACAACCACGTAAAAAGAAAAAAAAAACCTCAAGGCATTTGTTTGCTGAGAACTAAAAATAGTTGTTTAGAAACCATGACAAATTCCCCAAGAAGCACTAACAGCTTTGTGTTGTGAATATCATATTAACAATGTAAGTGTAATACTTTTTTTCTATTTACTACCAGGCTGGGAACATTTTTTGAACAAGCAGTTGAAATAAGGTGCACGGGGGTACAAGATCTAACAAGAAAACTAGAGTGGTTGCAAATTTTAATACTTCAATCCATGTTTTATTATTTCACCTAACAACTTATTTTCCAAGTACTAACAAGCAATGATCTTAAAAGATAAAATAAGTTATTCCATTTGTCAGCAGTTCACATTCACAGAGAAAAGATGCCGTACTGACAACTCTGCGACTCCTGACTATAAGGGCTGTGAACTTCCCATAGTTCTTAGTGATGGGAAATAAAGAAGGAAACTCAGGTTGGTAGAGCTTACAACAAGGATTCCTTATAAGTGGAAAACCATAAGAGATCCTTTGACACAATACAGAGGGAAGCTTTTTGCGTCATACCCAATACATCCTCTATACTTTCAATGCAGAGGTACTCTCTTCCTATAAACAGTTTTAGTACTTCTTCAGGAATCTAGGCCACATTATGAAAAGATTTTCTTTCTACTTACAGCCTTTCAAATTTAAACTAAGTATAAGGACAGTGTAAAAGAGTACTGTCAAAAGTACTGGAAAAAACAAGCAACTTGAGCCATTCAAACAGGTTCTGCCTGCCAAGATAAAATGTTATAGGGGGATTAAAAGACTTTTGGGAAACTATTTTGTATCGTTAGTCTTTATTCTAGTTAATATTTAATCGCAGATGCAGATACCAGTATGCTTAATAGTAAGTAGTATCCTCAATAGTAAGGAGTTGAGGAACTAGAATTTATTACCACAATGTTTAGGGTTTTTTTTTTTTTT